CGAGGGTGCTGCCTCACAGGTCCGGGCTCACGGGGTGGCGGGAAGAAGTGGGGACCACGCAGCTGGGAGGACACGGCAGGGCCACCGAAGAGATGCTTGTCTCAGGAACGCAGGGTTGATGCTTGAAGAATGACGCCCCCAACAGGAGCCCCGAGATTTCGGCTTTCAGCTTATCAAAGCTATTTAATTAGGGGGAAAACCTAGTCTGTTAAGAATGTAGTTTTTCACCTTAATGTTTTTTTAAAAAGCGATAACAAAATATTTCTCGCAGGTGCTCAGAATTCAAGGCCTGATGCGGGGGAGGGGACCGGTGGCAGAGCATTTGCTTTTCTTCGGGCACAGGCAGCGCCAGAGGATCCACAGGGATTCCTGCCAAGCAGGCGGCAGGTTGGGCCCTGGGGGTAAGGAGGCCCTGGAAGGGGAAGGCCTGGGGGTTGGGGGGAGGGGAGTAGAGGGGGGTGGGGCCCCAGGAGGTGTGAATAAGACACAGCAACATGGCTGGCTGTCCCAGTAACCATCTGGACACAACCCAACTTGAAAGGAAGCTGCACTGCCACCATTTGGCTCAGCCTGTTGGATGCTGCACCTCCTGGCCTGTCTCGAGGTGTCCCCAGCTCTCACACCTTCCTGTTTGTTCCCTGCTGGAGCACGCAGCTGTGGGGCGGGGACGAACACAAAGCAAACGGGCCACCTACGGACCCATCAGGTGCTGGCCCACGGGCTGGTCCTGCACTCCGGTCCGGGAGATGGTGGACCAGGCCGAAAGATCGGCGTCAGCTCCTCCCCTTTATGAGTGACCGAAGGTTACTCCTCAGAGAAAGAACGGGAAACGGGAGCCCCCGACTCTCCGTGCGATGACACGAACGAAACGGGATTCTTTGCGGGGGACAGAACCGGCCCCCGCGGCTAGGCCAGGCTTTTGTCCTCCTGTGATCCCAGGCCTCCCGCCCGCCCTCAGCCGGGCTCTGAGGCTCTGATCTGTCACTCCTCGAAAATCCACTGGTCACTGTGTCAGTCTGGCTCTTTCGGGTGCCCTTCCTCCAGTCCCCTCCTCACGATGGCGTCCGCCGTGGGCACCGCACTCTCCCTCCCGGTCCCCTTGACAAGCCCCCCACCCGGGCTCCGCACACCTGCTCGTCCCACCTCCAAGCCCCAGAGATGCACTCTGCTCCTTCGGGCAGGAGCACCCGCGGCCTAAATCCCATGGGACATGGCCCGTGGCTCCTGCGTGCCCGCCCTCCCTCAGCTCGCCGAGCCCCGAGATGACGCAGCGAGACGGCCCGTGGCCAGACCTCACGCCCCCGTGTGTCGGGCTCACGTCGTTCTTCGCCCCCCGGCCTCCCTCCCTCCCAGGTGGAGAACCTGGCTACGTTCTCCACCTTCTCGGTGGTTCTATGCTGGGTTTTAGTGGTCAGGCTGCTAAATGTTCTGTCCTTGGCGCACTCCTCATGTCGCAGACTCCCGCCCCTACCCCCAGTATGACCTGATGACAGACTCCTGGTACAGACCACGACGGAGGAACAGGGAACAGGAGGAGGGCCGTGACGGCCTCCCAGATGGGGCAGGCCCAGGCACCCCAGGGCTGTCTCCATCCTGCTCGCTGGTCCTCGACACTCCGCGGCAACTGCCTGGTCACCTCTGCAGCGTCTGTCCATCCCAGGAACTTTTCTTCAAACATTTTGGGGGTCCTTTAGCCTCCCCAGCAGAACATCGTGCTCAGAATGTAATGAAATATTTACACTGTAATTAGGTCTATTATGTAACTTCCACCCAAGCCAGAGCTGTCAGAAGCTACCTGCTGCTCGAGATGAGGCAGGTGGGAAGGAGACTCTAGACTGCTTTTGTGCAACTTAGTGCAAACTTGGGGGGCTGAAAGGAAGTGCCACCCCCATGTGTGTCTGCGGGCAGGGCCTCCGCACACCTGTGACACTGAGGAGCCACCTCATCCCACCCATCCTCCGTCACATGTAACATGGACAATACTGCCTCCTTCACAGGGTCGCTGGAGACTGGTCGTGGGGATGGCATACGTCAGCATAACCAACCCTGAGGTGGGTTGATCGTGAGGCCAGAGGAAGGTCGCGCCCAGCCCCCCAAGTGCAGCTGGGCGCCAGCCCTCTGCCCCGCCACCGCCCAGCGCGGCCCTGCCAAGGAGCGTAGCATCAGGGACAGGCCCAGCTCACACTGCTGGCTCCTCCTTCGCCGGAGGGCGAGAGCACCTGCAGGCAGCTGGGCCTTGGTCACTCTTCAGTGTGGACACCGTGTGGCTCGGGGCTGCTGGGAAGGGCGGAAATGCTGGCTCTGGATCCGGTCCCGCGTCCCAGATGGACCGGCCGTCAGGGCTCAGTTACGGCCGGCTTTTTGAACTTAATACAAAATACCGTCTAAGACTTAAACGACACGTCAGAAGACCCTGCTGCTGCATCCGGGATCTCATTTGGGCAACCTTAGGATCTGCTCTTAGACCTACTGTCGACAGGCCCAAGTCAATTCACACTGGTGCCCCATTATCCCAGGTCCCTGGGGTCCCCGCGGCGCTGGCTGAGGCTGGCTTTAGGAAACGTGCACCAGCACCCTGAAGCAACACAGAGACCCGGTTCTAGGAAAGTTACTTGGAGCGGCCACAAAGCGAGCCGCAGCCCGGCCCTCGCCAGCCCGGGGCGCACGGGGCGC